AAGGTCACCACAAGCGCCTTTGCAGCCTGGCGCCCCGGTGCCGGTGAGGGCTCCGGGTCGCCATGCTGGTGGGACCCGGAGATTCCGCTGACAGCGTCCAGGTGCTGAAGGGCTAACGACACGCAGCCGAAGCCCAAACTGTGCAAGTGTGTTTGATGGCTTTTCGTGGTTGTGTGCGTTGCGGTGGTTGCTTTGATGCTTTGAAGGGCTGTTGAGCATCGTCGGGCCGCTGTTGCTTTAAGATGGTTTTTCTGCAAACGCGGGCGGACATGCTTATACACCGCCAGTAGCGCTTTTCTTAAAGAAACGCCAACAAAATCTTTCCGACTTCCTTCCTGTCCATTGTTGAACATGCGAGAGTTCATGACATACTCGCAGTGTGAACAAGATCGGTGAAACTGGGGCTCTGCTGTGTTCAATTTGAACAAGATTGGAGCTCGTCCGCACAGGTGCAATCCGAGACATTGCGACTGGGAAAGATGGAGGGCATCCTCTATGTTGACTGCCTCGACGACGGCTTCCTGAAGGAGAAGGCCTGGGGCGAATCGGTCTCAATGATGCCGGGGTTTGACGAGGTTGCGGCGGAACGCTGCAGAAAATTGCAGCATGTGGCCCGTCGCCTAGCAGCCCGTGGCGGCGGCTAAGTCGCTCAGCCACGCGTTCTCCACTTGATTGGCATATATGCATTTCAGCTTGCTCTGCTGCCCAGCCCGGGTCCTATTTAGCTCAGTGAACGATGCAATGCCAATTCGACATCGTGGAGTACGCGAAAGCCTGCAAACACTGACAACCCTGCTTGGCTTCAAGTAGGCCCTACTTGAAGCCAAGCAAGGTTGTCAGTGTTTGCAGGCTTTCGCGTACTCCACGATGTCGAATTGGCTAAGTAGGCTGCACGTTTGCCGAGATGGCAAGAATTCAACTGGGTCGCCTGCAGTGCCAACAGAATGCTACTGTTCATCCAAGAACAGTACACTCTGCACGCGACAACTCCTTCCCTGCTCTTGACCAAAGTAGAGATTCTCCATTTGCTGAGCGGACAGCCGAAACTATGCCTGCAAAGAGCATTATGTTGGATGCATGCCTGCATCACGACATTGACATGTCCCTCTGAGCACGTACATTTAACTCATATGCAACATGGAAATGTAAATGTAATTACCTCTATATGTAGTGTATATATGTATATATGTAGATGTAAATTAAACGTACAGCTTATGCATCTGTATGTGTTGTGTGCGTGCATGTCTGCGAAAATGTCGATGCTTATGCAGTCACTGGTGTAAGCGTCTTTCGTACCAGTGTCATTGTCAACACGAGACAGCTACGTACAGACATGCATGCTGCGCCATCGTGAAGATGTAACTGCGCGCATGCTCGTATGTCTGGTATCACACACATCTAGTTTCTAAATAGTTGAATGGACGGTGGTGCTGGTAAATGTGAACGAAGAACTCAAGAACAACCCAATAAGCACTCATTCATACATGTGCAACCGATCATTTCAGTTTTCCCCGCTCACACATCGAGATGATCATCCATGCCAGAGGCAAGGCCGTGCAAAAGTCACGAGGACATTGTATCGGGGTCCGTATTCCCCCGCACGCGGACCCCTACAGGGGCGACGCTAGCAAACAGTTACTTGTGGTTATCCAGAACCCATAAGCATCAACGGCAGTGTAGTCCCGCTTTCTGCGAGTTGGTCTCGTCTCCCGTGAGGCCTCACGCCGACGACCTTTTGGCAAGGATCGACGAGAAGTCGGGAGCTCGAGGGCCTCAGAGTTTCATGCAATTCTGGCCGCAGAAGCCACGGTGCGTGTGTGTATGTATATATAAAAATATAAATATACATAAAAAAAAATAAACAAATAGACAAATAAATAAGTATATATGTGTACATCCATACGGAAGTCTTCGGGACTAAACCCTCCGAACGAAGGGTAGTACACGCGCTGATTATCAGGCTGGGCCCGCATCTTTTTCCGGACGCAGCAGGGCTGGCCGGTCATGCTCTGCTTGTTTGGGTCTTTGTTGGGTCCGTTGTTGGAGAGTGGTGATTAGGGCCATGGATTTTTGCGTGGATTTTGAGTTCAGGGTTTGTTTCAGCTGTGGGGGTTTCGGGCTTTCGGGGTTCTGGACGGGGCATCTTGGTTTGTCGTTATTGGGTGTCAAAGGGTATGTTGCGGAGATATTTTGGGTTTCGCACCACGCCACAGGTCGCAGGTTTCGGAATGGTTTGTTAAGGTTGTGAGTATTTCGGGAGTGGTCTCCTGCTTGGGCGTCGAAGCCAACGTGCCCACTGCTCGATTCGAACAGTCTCGCGGCTCGCGTCTTGCCGCCCAGATTCAGTAAGAACGGCAACCTCAAGTCCGTAGACACACACAAGCTCAGCTTGCTCTCACAATGCCGTGCCAGGGCCGGGTGGCTCTCCAGCTTACAGCACCTCCGAGTGGCTTCGGCTTTGACACCACGTGTGCCGTGGAGGCTCTCTGTGACAAAAGCCAACCCAGCAGCCGGAGACGAGCAGCAAGTTTCTTTTTGTTCCATTGATTGAACCAACTGAAGTTCAATGAAACCAACCAAGACATGAGAGCCTATGATCTAGGAAGATCCATAGATACCATGTCTACATCATCTACATCAGAAATATGCGAGTTCATCCATCTGCCCACCTGTCTGTCTACTTCTTTATCTCTGCATCTCCTCGTCCATCATTATCTCCAAGCCTCTTCAAATCCCGGACTTGCGCAGCTAAGCCCACTTTCCCCTCTGCCCGGCCATTGAAGGATCTGCCGGCAGCCTACTACCGCCCAGAGCAGAGCATCCTCGGTCAAAGCAGCAGCGCCTGAGCCGAAGTTTTCGGAAGAGGGCTTCAGATAGGATCTTTGGAATGTTCTGGGTTAGGGACTGTTTTGGCGTGTTTAGGATTGATTCAATTCTCAAGGCTTGGACAGGAGTGTGCGATGGGATCGTATTCTGCACACGTGCCGGCTGGGGAGGCTCGACATTAACGATAAGGCGGACGAGCCGAACTTGGGATATCTAGACACGAACTTAGCACGAGTTTGACCGCAGCATCATAAACCACACCGTGCGAAGGCTGGATCTGTGGTTTTCGAGCCGAGCAGCGCTGAAGCCTGAAGCGAGGAAGGGCTCCAGAATCAACGTCTTATCTGGACCCCAAAAGTATGTAGAATAGTAGCCTTTTACAGGTGTTGGGCCATTATTGTACCTACTTTGGGAGGTTTGGGTAGACCTTCTGGGTAAGGTGCCGAGCAGGGTGCCCAGCAAGCGACGGTGCGGCGGCTGCCGAAGGCACGTTTGCAGACGAATTTGATATACTGCAGGCCGCCTTGTAAGAGCATTCGCGGTTCTTGGGGTCCGTATATGTCAAGCAGATGAATATTGTATGTTGGTGTAGAGATAGCATCCTAAGCTTCAGCCGAGGAGGACTTGTCTCATTGTCATAGATGCGTCACTGATGCGTCCATGCTCGTGACATGTTTGCTCGAGGTGGAGGCCTGCCAGGGTGTTCATGCGAGGAGCTGAGTGTCAGGAAAGTGCGCTGCTCCCTTCACTTTGAGCCCAGCAAGCTGTCGGATCGTTGACCGAAACTACGGCAGTAGATGCTCCAGAACTATCGTTCTTTGCTCCTTCGGATGGTTGACTGTGAGAAGTGTCCACGCGGCATGCCTGAGGTCTCCTCTTTGCAGCTGCCGGAGTCAAATTGGCTTTCGGACTGGGGTTCAGGGATCTGGGTCGGATTTGGGGTGCTGCTCTAAGTTGTAGGAGTGTAGGCTTCCCACGACAGCATATGTTTGACCAAAGAGGAAGCCCGCCCTGCGGTTGACAAGCTGCTGACCCGTCGCAAACCAACGATAAGAGTGAAACACTGTGATCATGTTCCTTGTGAATGCAAGAACAGGAAGGGTAAGAGTGGCTTTGGTTTCGTAAGCCATCTGATGTTTAGCAGGGATTCAGACATAACTTGCTTCCTTCAGGAGATGCAGCGACGTTTTGAAAGATTCCATGAGGTCTTCTGACAAGTGATACGTCTTCACACCTGAACCGAGAAGTTTCCAGTCACGTAGCTCTTCGTCGGTGCCTCACCACCTGTATTCTCTTCTTGTCGGTCCTGTTCGTGGCATTGCTCTAGGACTTGCTTATCCTTCTGCTCGGCCCTGGTGTTGAAACCCTATATCCCTAGAGCCTAAAACCCCCGAAACCCTAAACCTATGATTAGGACTTTTACGCACCTCCTGGCCGCCTTCCGTCCCTGATGGAGATCTTCGTCGCAGGCGCGGGGTCACGCTTCCCCAGACCCCACGCTGACACAGCAACGGAGCAAACACTACGGTGCACCGGAAATTACAAGGCTAAAGCGTGATCGTTATGAATCAATATATATATATATATATAAATATGGCATACTGTTCACTTCGCATTAAGAAAGGGGCCCCCCCCCTCCCCCCCGCAAGCATGTGAGCCTCAGCCTCCGTAATAAGAGTCCGGGTCCAGCATAACTTCAGAAGCTTGGTAAGAGTTCAGAAGCCAGACATGTCAGAGCCCTGTTTGCAGCCCCCGGGAGATACTCCAATTGCCCCAAAGCCTTTTCAGCTCCTGTAGCTTCTGCTTTCAGTTTTTCCCGCTTAGGCCGCTTGGATTCTGCAAATACGGGGGGGGTTTCTAATTACGTTCTGGGAATTGGATTTTGCAATTACGCGGGGAATTCTACATATGAGGTTGACATTAGTATACAACACAACATTGAATATGGTGTGCAATAACATTCCATATTTATAGAGAATACAGTACAATATGATTGGCATCGTCTTTGATTAAGCCGGCCGGTGGCCACAAGCAGGTCCACTCCTTGAGGCCACCACGTATGCCTTCTCGATGCTGGTGCGCCACACGAACGCGTTCCAACCTTCCGAAGGCGAGGATGGTTGAGTGTTTCGATTGGTGGGTTGGGGTCTGTACATGCTGTTGACTTCGGCACTGTGGTGTGCAGAAATGCTTCAACCGATTGGTCCACGGGACCTGGGCCCCTGGAAGCAATCTCGATGCAGTGGTGTCCGCATGGCATCCCTGCCGAATCACAGGTGCTGGCTTCGTACTCGCCACCTACATCCACGCAGACTCTTGTCCGCCAAATCTGGCAATAGTACTTGCAGAGCAAGGAGCGTTCCAGGTTGAGAAAAAAGAGTCACCGTGTCTCCGGCGGTGCTACACTGTCCAGTTCTATACTCCCCCACATCCGTTTCCCAAGCCTAGCGTCTGCCCAGAACGGGCCTCATAATGCTGCACTGCTACACGCAATGACGCTATGCACTCACTGGCTCAGTTACACATTCCAATCACTCGAGGCTCGCTGCCCCCCCCTTGCGAACCTGCCCTGGTCTCTTTTTGTGCTTTGCAATAGGGCCGGCGAGATGTACACCCGACCCAAAGCTGTCTTGTGGCTGTTGTTTCGCTGTTGCAGTAAACAAACTTGCCACACTGCTGGCGCAGGCTTCTTGCGTCAATGTTGTTCATGCACAACCCCGCCTGAAAGCCAAGAAAGCAACAAAAAAGAGAGTATTGTAACTTACCCGTATGATTCGACGATATTCGATGCCTGCTTGGCTTTATACCCCTAAACCCTAAACCCCTATAGATCATTATAGATCCCTTTAAAGGAACCCTATCCCCAGAGGCTTCCTGGCAGCTCCTGGATCGGAGCCCTGGGGCGATGCCTCTGCTGCCGGCGACCACCCTCGAGCCCTGGCCCGGCTATGGGCTCTACGAGCTGGCCCGGGGGGTAGTAGGTACTGTAGGTACCAGAATATCATTTTTAGAAAAATACTAATAATAATCATTGCAGTATATATATATATATAGTATTAGAATACTCCTATATCCAAAATAATTACTATTGCTACGATGACTGCTACACTACTCTGAGATGACGCAAAGTACTTTCCTACTATGCCGCAGCAGGGGTGATAGGGGTGACACTGTTTGGGTTGGAGGATTTTGGGGATTTTGCTCTGTTATTCATGTTCCAACAATAGCGGGGTTTGGTCCTATCCTTTGCTAGTGAAGACAGCTTCGGCTTCTTCTGCGACGCTTTACTTAAGAGGTTTGAAGAAACATTACCAACATTACCATTGTAACACTCGAGGCCAATGTCTTGCCTACCACGGGGAAGATGATTTTGGTGCCGATGATGTAAGGTATAAGATTAACGATAGTGCTTTTCTATGACATTAGAAATAGAAGTGAGGACAGCAATGCAGTGCTGAGCAATAGTCGTATTGTTTCCACTTAGCAGTATTACATCTCCGCCGTGACAAGACGAACACAGCATCGACAGGAAGATAAACGACACAAGCCAGCGTCGAAGCCAACACCAGTACTCTGAAGCCACGAGCAGCATCGTCGTCATGCACAATCATCAGCATAGCGACCGTCAGCATGATCATTGCCGTCACCACCATCATGATTGACATGACAGTCGTCGACATGCTCTCCTTTTCACCATGGTCTCCGTCCGCACCATCGCTTGCAGCAGTGTTAAGGTTTTGTACTCGGACTGCTTAAGCCCCCTTACCAGCCCCCGCCAGGCTGCACCAGATGCACTGCATGCCGTGGTTCTGCCTCGTCTGCCCTTTGCGCAGACGGCGCAGCCGGGAGAAGCGCAACTCGACTCGGGGAGTTGATGGTGATAAGAGCCACTGAGCGAACTGGTACCACCGGTAGCAACACCAACCACAGCAACAGTGAGTACTGGCGCGCTTTGCCTGCCATCGCAATTCCCAATATTTGCTGCCAGGGGGGTCGGGTGGCAGCAGCAAGCCTTTGACTCCTTTTACCAACGCTGTACAGTCCTCAAGTTCCCAACGAGTGACAGCCTTGTTGAGGTGCGAGGGTATGGCCAGATTCTTGTTGCCGTGGTTTGGCGCAGACGTGTTATTCTTGCCAGGTCTTCACAGTGCATGCCTGTCCGTGCAAGCCGTTTGATTAAGATCTCAAGCCCGATATTTTGCGGAGCATTGTGTAGCCCAATCAAATTCGGTTGACAGTAGAGACCTGGTGTGATTATCTGCTTGTCTGCCACAAGCATGCCAGCATAGCAGCCTAGCACCCTGGACCGATACCCCCTGGTACAATCCAAACCCTACCATTATCATTAATACTATTATTCTCATGATTATTACCATGGTTATTACTAGTACTAAGACAGCATGTCTACCGACAGATGCCCACAGCCAGCAATTTAATCAGGACCTGGCCCTGGCAGATGCGACATCGATAATACAGGGGCCTGAATAATAATTAATCTATTGCTACATTGTTTTGGGGGGTTCTAGTTATAGTAGAGATGGGCCCCAAACCCTATTCCAATTATTAAGGCCCCTATATTAGACTGTCGAGTCATGGCAGCCACTGCGCGGATCGAAGAAGATCTCTCACAGAACCGGTTTTTGCAGGTGCTTCGCGCCAGCTTTGAAGGCATATACCGACAGGCCGCTAAGGGAGGAGAGAAGACGGTGGTGCTGGTTCCTTGTGCCGACTGCTTGGAGGTTGAGCACTTTGCGCAGAACTTTGCAGAAACCCATCTGCTACACGCGACATGTGTTCCTGGCTGCTACATGAACCTGCTTGGACAAGGTGTTGAGATCAAGGACAGCAGCGTGTCGACTCGTCTCGGTTTTTCTGAGCAGCGCGTCTGTGAGGTCCTGCAGAGCGAGTCGATGTACGATGTGGGCAACACTTTCCGGGTTCTCGTGATTGACAAGCCGCTGATCGGCCGGCACCGCCCACTGCCGGGTGCAGCCGACCGTGCCAAGGCGACTGCTGAGACATCTGAGCTGTCGGTAGACGACATGCTATTGCAGGCCCCGATGATTCAGGGCGATTTCTTCGACGAAGTGGACCGCTTCCGAAAGACCTTCGTGCAGGTTGCGGGCTGCGAGGGCCGCACGGCGGAGAGGATCCGCGAGATCGTGAACGCCGCGGTGCAGCGCCTCAGCCGGCACCACAAGCTGACGTCCTCTTCGCAGCTGCGACAGCTTGAGTTCACAGTGAGTCGTCAGGCCTACACAGCATTACACTCCTTCGTTTTCCCGCATTTGCAAGAAATCCTATCGACCCACGAAGAGCGGCTGCAGAAAGCGATCCGGTCCTACGGCTCCGTGGAGGACGTGGTGGAAGCCATCCCAGGTGGGGGTCAAGGCCTCGCCTTCGTAGATATCTCCGAGGCTGCGAAAGAGCTGGAGCTCATGGATGGCAAGATCGCCCCTCACGAGCATCTCGGAGGAAGGCCCTAAACCCGAAGAGTAGACTCCAGACCCGAAGCAACCTAGACCCTGTCCCTTGTTTCTGCCTTTCGACGTTAAACTTTAACACCGGGCCCTTCTTCTTGCGCAAGAACAAGTCGTCAGACGCCCAAACCTCAACTGCACAGTCGCTGCACTTGGCAAACGTGTGTTTGTTTGTGCTTATGTATTGACGCATAGATATGGCACGGATGTTCGTGTGCGTGTCTGACAAGTGCATATTGTTGCTGCATTTTAAGATCTTGTAGTTGTATTTATGTATTCAACCCGCCTGTGTGTGTGTGTATATGTGTATATGTATGAAGGTAGGCAGGCAGGATGGAGGGATGGACGGCCGGTTGGCTACGTGCGCATGTCAGTGCGTGCATACGGCAGGCGGATAGGTAGGTAGGCAGGCAGGCAGGTAGGTACGTATTCATGTATTCTATGCACATGCAGAAGCATGTACATAGATATGCTGTATTGCATTTTAATCTGATAGATCGATTGTAAGATCTGTTTCTAGTGTATGTGGCATAAACTTCATGGGATACGTGTGTACATTAATATTTATGTATACACCCAAAAACAGAACACATACTATGTACGATTCTCGTGTAGACTCGCAAGGAAGGTGGAGTGCATCGACAAGGCCCACGGCTCACTCCAGCGCTGCATCGCCGACTGCCTCCAGGAGTCTCCCCTCCCCGCGGCTCCCATCGAGATCACAGGCGACGATGTGCTGTCTTTGCCCTTTGCCTGACATGGGCCTTTAAACCGTAAGCAGGGGGAATTAGGGTGTCTTTTCGGTCTTTGCCCTTTGCTTGACATGGGGTTGAAGGTTCAGGGCGAGGTTTGAGAGGAGGCTTTCTCAGCAAATCCTGGTTTTCTCATAATATCGGATTCTGAGGAATTTGATGCTCGCACAATCTTGCTTCGCATTGCATTGAAGGCATCCTCACTGCTGTGGGTTTGTTCGTTTAGTCCGAACGATCGAGCCCGTGTCAAACATGGCTTAGGCTCAGTCATGGACCTCGTGTTTCTTCCTGTATTGAACTCCTTCCGAATGAAAGACAGAGCATTCAGTCCCATGTGCGGGTTAGTTGTTATGTTTAGTGGCCCACTGCCTCCATCGCAACGTATCGTAGTGGTTCTTGCTTGAAGCAATGATCGTCATGGGACTGGAGTGGGGCAGCAACACGTGCAAGGTGTCCAAGGACCTCTCGAATGAACATTTGATATCCCGACCCCATGCACTCATGAGCAGCAGAAGCACACATAAAGCGACAAGAACCCAATTCCCCGCAGATGGCAACATCGATATAAGCTTGCGTGCCTCTCTTCTCTCGCCACATGTCCATATGAGGTATACCGCATGTATGTACATAGTATATATGCATGTATGCATGCATGTATGCTGTATGCCTGTTTGCATGCATGTCTGATGGTTTTGTGCTTGTTTGTTTTCTTTCTTGCTTGCTTGCTTGCTGGCTTGGCGTGGCCTTGCTTGGCCTGGCCTGGCCTGGCCTGGCCTGCTTGCTTGTTGATTTTTTTGTTGCTTGCTGGCTGACTGGCTGGCTTGCATGCTGGCTTGTTCGCATGGATGGATGGATGGACGGATGATGGACGGAAGGACGGACAGACGGAGCGGCCGTGTTGCAGGTGTGTTTGCGGTAATGGCAGGTCATACCAGTCCACAATTTTGCGCGGACTTAATCGGGTGTCTGTGCATGCGAAGACACACTGACACAGCCCCAAGGTTCATCCTCGTGGTGTACCGAAGCCAGGTGCCTGTGTCATAGAGTCACCGACGACTCCAGACATGAGCTTTCTTAGTGTTGGGTCCCTCATGCAGAGGTCCTTGTCAGAAATATCCTTGCATGTAAAGCAGAGTCTACATTCGGGTTCCCTCGTTTCCGGAATGCTCGCGTTTGCCAGTGCCCACGGAAGAAGAACATCATCCCCAGTTGGGCCGGTCTTTTGCTGACCTCTGATGAACAGGTGAAGTCTTTCCTTGCACACATCGCCCACGTGGAGATGTACCTGCAGGCTTCGGAAAACCGCGGCTTTTCCCAAGCCCGAGTCTGAAATCCTTGAAGCTCGGGACTCGGGGTCCTTCTCATCCCACAGCTTTAGTCCCACCCTCCCATGCCCAAACTCCAACTACAGCCCTAAGGCCTGAAATGAATCTCTAAATCCTGAACCAGCACGTACCACGACTCCACAAACTCAAACACCTCAAAAAATCCTAAAATCCTTACCTAAATTTGGCAAAATAATGGCCCAATACGCATAAACGGCCATTATTCTACGTACTTTTGGGGTCCAGGTTGTACCCCGAAGCCCTAAAACCCGAACTCCAAAAGCCCCTGCTTCCAGGGCTCCTCGAGCCGCTCCGGTGGTAGCGAGGCCGTCTGGGGCCACTAAATGGGAGTTTCCGAAAATTAGGGGGTACCTTATTTTGGGGTCCTTATAGTAAGGATCCTACTATTCAGGTTCCTGAAGGGATCTGTAAATTAGGGTTTAGGGTGTAGGGTTAAGGGATCTGTAAATAAGAAGGGGTTTTAATGGGTTCCGGCAGGATTGTAGAAGGGGTGTAAAAGGCTTCGATTAGGGTATTGTAAGAGTTCTAAAACGGTTCTAGAAGGGTGCTATAGATAGCAGGGTTCTACAAGAAGGCCCCCGGATCTCTTGGTGGTTGTAGTGACACGAGGGGATCTAATCTGCAGGCAGCGCAGCAATGTTTAGGCTGCAAACTCTCAGGGTGGCACCTACTTCAAAGGAAGGGTGATGCGGAGTCTCAGTGTTCTGCACTGAAGTTCATGTTGGAAGACCACTGCGCACCATCTCAACACTCAACCCCAGCCCCAAAGCCCCGACTTGCAACCCCCGACCCCAAGCTGCGCTGGATGAAGAACCGTAAAGCAATGACCCCCCACCTTACACCAACGACTCTCAGCTCCACGGATTTCATATGGCAGACAAAATCCACAACCCTTCGTCCGGCGGCCCAAGTCCCAAGTTTTACTTCAGGCCGCCCGGTTCGAAGAGACCGGCTATGCCGTCTCCGCCCTGCAGGCCGAAGCTTGAGACGAGTGGTTTCCATAGTAAGTGCCACGCAGGATCACCCAAGGGCCGAACAGAAGGGAACCTCAGTAGGATCTCGGTGGTCGGTGCAGGGGGCTCTTGCTGGTCTGCTCTAGCGGTTCTTGCACATCTGCTCCATGCTCGAGTTTATTCTGTGTTGATCTCAGGGGTGGTCTGCAATCACCAACCTTTCAAGCCCGAGCCCGAGCCACCCGAAGACTCCTATAGGCCCTGCACTCAACTCAAGTCTTTCGCCAGACTGCTACACTGCTACACCTTGCATTCTTCCGGCTGAAGGGTGAAGTGACCTCTTCGACTCCTGACACCCTACTATTACTATTACTATTGCTACTACGATTACTATTACTACTACTATTAGTATTACTACGACCCACAGACCCTTTAAACCCTGGATCAAATCAGGCCGGTCTTCAGTTCTTCCTCGAGGAGGGTCGGGCAGCGGCGGCGGCTGCTAAGCCCATGGCCTTCGCCCAATACCTGCCCTTTGGAAGCAACATGATTGGCAGATTATAGTATGGTAGATCATATGAGTTGTGTAAATGATCAGGATGCTACCATGTACTGTAAGGTTTCAACATCAGGGTCTGCTCTGTGCTGAAACTCTTTTCTAGACTACCTGGCCATGTCTTCCTGCCATGATATTCTTCGTCATGCAGGTCTTTGTCAGGTTGTCGCATTGCATCATTATGTTACAAAGGGGTTATGTTATCGGTTATATCATGATCCCAATCAGTTGCGCTTGATTCTATAGCTACATTGATGCCATGCTTTACTGGGCTTCCGTCTTAGTTTTGGTGTAGGGACAGGGACATGAGCCATCTATGCCCTATAGCCCAAAACGATCATGTTTAGGTTCTTTTCCCTAAACCCCTAAACCCTAAACCCTTTTTGGGTTGCGATCTGAGGCCCTCGGGTGGCCCGGCGGACCCCGGCGAAACCGGTCTCCTGGGCCTGGTTCGCCAGGCGCGGGCGCAGGCGGCGGCGCGTTAGCCACGCAAAAAAGGGGGCGCCTGTGGTTTTGGGGGATTTCTGAAGTTTCTGACAAAAAACTAAACTAGACCTGGTCTCTTACCGTAGAGTTTTGCTTGGTTCAGAGGGCTCTGCCCTTTAGACCCCTTTTAATTGATGACAACAGTGATACTCGTATTGCATACTTGCATAATATAGCACAGCATAACATAATATACTATAATTCCTGCTACACTATGTACGATTCTAGTAGATTTAGGGATTCATGATACGTTCCACGCATGCCCGAACTTTATGGGCCGTATAGGTTGATCCAAAGTAAGGAGAATCCGAAGTCTCTCATGACTCATGACCCTGCTTGCAGACTGTCGCCTCGCTAAAGTTCCGGGATGTCAGTCGTCTCCCTAAAACTCCCTCTGATAGAACTCAGACTCACACAGTGTACAGCCCCGTTTAGAATCCTCGTGAAAGCCCTTCAGCCCTTGAAGACTCTCTTCTCAACCGTGTGGAAGCATCTTCTTCCTCTTATAATGAAGCCCTGAAACGCTAAACCAATAAGGCATATCCTCCTGCGGCCTCCCGTAACCAGCGCCTTCCGGGGGGTCTCCTGGCGCGTGACGCGGCCTCGGCTTTGATCCGCTGTGATGAGGCTTCGTGGGCTTTGTAGTGGTTTGCAAGGTTTGGAAGGGTGTCAATGCAGCTAATGTAGCTATCGGCAGCTGCGAATCCGACCAAGGTTTGCGCCCACGACCTACGGCTGGGACTTCACAGATCGTGGCTTCTTCTTCAGGACCACGTTGTGAGTCCTTGTAGCGTGAGTGTCATGTCTTTTTTCTTTGCGGCTCTGCAGTTCTTACTGTACTTAGTTTGCTAAGTCTGGTCATGTTACTTAAGTTGTTGACCTGCTACAAGTACCTGCTGGGTTCATTGCCTCTTGTAGTACGTAGTCGTAGTAGTCGACACGGCAGCATTTTAGTTCTTGCTGTCTGGCAGCATATTTTACCGTTCTGCTTGTCAGTGCTGCTTGTTGCCTTGCTTCTTGCAGGTGCTATCTTGGGCAGAAGTCTTGCTATTCACTTTGGGCCGAGATGTGGGCTGGATGATGACACAAGCCTCCGACCTAATATGATGAACGAGGTGGTGCGTCTTGGCTCAGATATCCTTTGTCAGCGGGCGGAAGGTAGCCCCACGAATGCACACAAGTCCACCTCAAGAGACGAAGGGCGGAGGCGCCAGAGGAAGAGCTGAGGCACTTCAAGGGGTAAACACAGAATGGCTTTCATGCCATGACGGGGAAACGAAGATATACAAGAGCTGTCAGCCATGAGCCCAAACATCTGCCACGAAGGTTTGACGTGGGCTTGAACCTCGGTGCTAGCTTAGCAAGTTACTCTAGCAAGTTGCTTCAAGAAGCACGGTCTCTGGTGCCAGGCAGTCCGAAGTGCCCGGTGCCACAGCTGACCTTCCCGCGGCTTGCCTAAGTTGAAAGATGTGCGGTGTGGGGTGCCAGCATGCGTTGCATTGATTCGTTCTGGCGACCAAATTTGAGACCGGCGTCAGCAGACACATGACGGTGTGCGACAATGCCATGTCAGAAACTGCAACGGTTCAACCGTGCCAGGTGATTCGAGCTCCTGCAGCACCCCGCATTCCGCCCCTCAACTCTCTGATTTTCTATGGTGGCTCTGGCTGTTTTGGTGGACTTGGCGAAGAGTGTTGCAAGAGCGGAGTGCTTGAGACTTAAGCCACAACCCTCTACGCACAATCCCCAAACCCTAAATTGTCTGGACACTGAAGCGATGGGGCCTGCAACCGGTGCCAATGCCGGCACGCTGCAGCAAAATTCGTCGTCTGGCATAACCTATCAAGACCAATCAGTGTAAAATCAGCCACTAGAGTAGGTGACGTGCTGTACGGCAGGGGCCGACGAGAATCCAACACCCGGGTGGGTGGTCAATGAAACCTATGGCTTCCGCCGCATGTCAGCATATATGGGAGCTGCCATTGCTGCCCGCTCACGTTGTTGTCAGGTTTTTTTCAGCTTTGCCGCTTGGTTGAGATGCCATCCTAGGCCAGAGTAGACTCAGGAGGCCCTACACCGCTTTGTTGTTTTGAACCTGGGATACTCTTGGGATTATCCGCAAGCCGACAGCTTGAGAAGGGCAGCAGGTGTCACAAGTGGTGCAGATAGTTCCAAGTGTACGATACCCTACGCTGATAACAGAGATTTGGGAGAAGGGCAGCACTGTCGCGACTGAATCGTCTGTCCTCCCTGGTCTACTCCAGCAGACATCCGATTGGGGAGGCTCAGCTGAGAGAGTGGCCGAGGTGCAGGCCTTCAGGTTCCTACGCAAACACCCCGGCATGCAGTCAACGAGTGGGTTGGCCGCTCAGCGTTTCGACAGCTCCTGGCAGTTACTGTATCATGTTTGTATCACAAATTCCCGCATGAATCGTACTTACACTGCCGTTGCCAAGCTTCGTGGCCAAAACGCAGTGCATCTAAGTGGAGCGAGTAGTTTCGGCCTCAAGAGTTTCTGTCGAACATATGCGATTGTGTTGTTACACGTATGAGTAAGATGCATGTTGGCGTTTCCAAGAGCAGGTATATGCACAGCCTGGAAACAATGTGCACTCTGAGGTCTCAATAGACAGCGTCTGCATAAGCAAACAGACACATGTCTATACATCTACATGCATGTATACATGTATGAAGGTAAGCAGGCAGGAGGCAGGGAGGTAGGTTGTAGTCGGTAGGTAGGCAGAAGGCGAGCAGGTAGGAAGGTAGGTAGGTAAAGTGGGCAGGTGGATAGGTGGGTAGGTGCCGAGGAACTAAGTATTCGGCCCCGTGTGCATGCAAGTAGGCATGGATGGACGAACGGACGGATGGATGGATGTGTTTACGCATTTACCCTTGCATGTCCGCACGCAAGGACGCATGCGCCCAGGCATGCATGCATACATGGATGCCCCCAGTGCGCACATGCACCCAGGCCGGGTGTACGTGTACGTACAAGCATGCATGTAGGTGCATGTGCATGTACGTGTGGATGCATGCATGCATGCACGCATGCATGCAGGTAGGCACGTGCGGGTTTGTTTGTCCGTCTGCCGGTCTGTCTGTACATATTTACGTTTGTTTGCTCGCTGGTCTGCATGTCTGCGAGCTTGTGTGTTCAGACTCAGACCCTGTTGCCAGATCGTGGAGTGGGGCTTCGACCGGAGTGATCTTTCCGAGCGGCTTGCAGCTGCCACTGCCCCTGCCGAGGAGGCTCGGACTGACAGCACACAGAAGTCGGTCGAATGGACACTGAGTAATCCGAGCTCTAAGAACTGCAACAGGATCAGGACTTCCGCCGGCGAAGACTCCAGCGAACTTCTGCTGCCTCCTGCGTGCCACCTTGATACCCGGTGTAGTAGACAGATGTTGGAACCCCCCAGACCTGGGCAACACTAGCAGTAACTGTCACTACCAGGCAGCGGCGATGCTTTTGTCGTAACAGAAACAGTCGCGCAGTATCGGCACAGTATATCGAACAACACGATAAATGATGACAGAGTTTGGTTCAGCTCTTTGAGCTGCAGGACAAAGAATCACACGGTTGAAGGGCTTACCTTTGGTTAGTAGGGAATGGAAGAATGGTAGTAATAGTAGTTATACTTGTACCCCATTCCTCCATTCCCTACTAACCAAAGGTAATTAAGAGGGTTCGTGCCAGGTGCGCGCGGTGCACAGCTTCCGTGTCTGGAGCCTCGGGGGCAGCATTCAAGGCCCGGACCTGAAGGACAAACTTGGTGGATTTTTTTGGGTTTCGGGCTTAGGGATTTAGGGTTTAGGGCAGGGCGTTGGTTTCAGATACGGGATTTGGGGTTTTGGCCTGCAGGTTCAGTGTAGGATGGTCAGGATCAGAGTTGAGGTTCAGGTGTGGCAATGGTGAGGCTGTGCGTGCAGTCTTGGCAAGAACTTCGAAGTCTCAAGACGGTCGTCTTCGAGCGTCCGAGTTTCTGCTGTTCTCATTAGATACATCTAGAATGATAGAAGCGTGGGATCTGACATGGTTTGGTTTAGGGTTTAGGGTTATGATCTCACATCCCGTGATGCCCAGGCCAGAGTGGAGAGCTCTTGGTGGAGTTCGGATTGGTCTCGGAGGCTGTTGGGAGCGGTCTTCTGAGGGACAAGGGAGAGAAGCTACGTACAGGTGACAAAAATTAAGTTTATATATATATATATATGTACTATTATTGTTTTGCTATGATTATTAGTATGTATGTATGTGTATGTATATATATATATATATATATATATACATACACGTACACATACACATTGATTTTGGGATTGCAATCCCAACTACTTGACTGAAACCATGTTTCACTCCATGCATTCCGCAACAGCTGCGTTTAGTTCGTCGGCCTCTGTACGGAAGGTGCCAAGTGTACGTGGAGCTTTGCAGTTACGCACTCCTCAAGGCACCAGCCGTTTGTGCGCGGTTCGAGTCTGCATGCAGTTTGTCCTTGTGTTCAGGTTGCTGTCAATCTTGGTCGCGGTGGTGCTGCTAGTCATCGCTAGTTGTAGAGATTGGAAGTAGTAGTTGTCGTTGTCGTTTATTCTTCTCGTCGCTGTCATTCTGTTGATTGTTGCTCTTGTTGCACTTGTAGCACTTGCAGTGCTTCTAGTGATTCTAGTGCTTATAATACTTGTAGTGCTTGTAGTACTTGCGGTACTACAAGAGCAGGAGCACAAGTCACAGTGGGAGTAAGAGGAGGAGAGAAGAGGAGCGCAGGAGGAAGGAGTCACACGCACAAGCGCAGCAAAGTCCTTGGTTCCCAGTTCCCGACTACATTTGGAAGGAGTTACGCTTGTAGGAGCAGGAGTGGTCGGACGCGTGGTGGCAGTAGTTGTGGTCGCAGCGGTCATTGCCGAGTGGTAGTAGCAGCAGCAGTCAGCAGGCAGTTCTCGTTGTGAACATTCTCTACGGCTGTCCGATTTGGAAGGGTTTGAAGCTTTGCTTGCAGCTGCCAGGCTTCGTTTTCGAATCGATCTGCGTGCCTTTCCCGCCTTCTGGAAGTTTCGATCCCTTTCTCCCCCTCCCCGCCGGGGACTTGGCTAGCGGCTAGCTCCTCCCTCAAGCTCTACTACCATGCCTTTGTTGCTGCAAAACAGGTGCACAGGTTCGACCAGGTGCGAGAGAGTTCTCCCGACGTTGCTGACCAGTAGTCTCATGCAAAAAAAGGCTGTTCATCGCAACTTCTGCCCGAGAGACTCCACCCAGGTCCGCGTTGAATGTACGGCAGCGACAGCAGGCAGGTCTCAGCTGTTTCGGGATCGGGGTTCGGGTCTTCAGTAGCTGTAGTGACGTCGGCAAATCCCGGAAACTAAGCACGAGTTGCTTCCCGTAGCAAAAGAGCCGGGAAGGCACCGCCGACCAAGAGCCCCTGCTCACCATCCGGCCGATGGATGGAAGCCTTCCGCCTCTCGATCGCATCAAGCGAAGCGCGCTCTGGGTCCGAACCGAGCAGCCCTTGTCAAGTAACAGCCTCCATGGACATGTCTCGCTGCAGAAGCAGCTCAGGCTGCTAGGATCCACCCCACTCGAAGCAGTGGAGAGTCCATCCTTACATGGCAGAGGGGTAAAGTGTAGTTAGTGTAATTGTTGGATAGCGTCGGCACACAACACTACCTCGCGCAGGGCTTTGGGGGAAAGGGGATGGCGGCCCTCTTTTTCACCCGATGGAGTCTCATCGCTTGCACACTCGCGGTACCAGCGGTGCCGGGCGATCCTTCAGGAGACGCGTGCAGGAGCTCTACATGTGAGGCTGCTGTGTCTTTGTTGCATGCTTCCGTCTAGTCTCGAGTCTAAAGTCACTACAGTCACCTGACCAAGTGGCCTGCAGACTTCAGGGCGGTCCAATCCTGCAAGACAAGTTTGCTGATGAGGCAAACGGTGAGTCTAACGTAAACGAAACAAGAAGCCAACCTGCAAGCAAGAAGCACAGAAATCCGTACCCCGTCGTGGCCCCTATTATAGTTATTATAGTATATTGGGCCCAAAACCCTAAGCTCGTGACAGGGTTTGACGGAAGATGCTGGCATAGAGATGCTCCAGTTTTCGGCCGCACGAGCAGACCGCATTGCGGCAGAGGTGCCCGCCATGCAACCCAGCTTACCGAAGGACGCGGTTTGTGATGTGGTACTTTCGGGGGTTTCGAAGTCCAACCATGCAAAGTATCAATATATATATATATATATATATATCGTAACCGCCATTGCAAGAGTCAATTGCACCCAGAGGAGTATGGGCCATGTGATAGTACATGGCTGCCGCCCACCGGTGGCGACCTGGCTTATATGGCAGGCCTCAAGTCGGTGACCTGCAAACAGACTGCCAACTTCGCCTGTATTAACTGGGACAGGGTGGTTGCCTTTTGGCTTCCCGTTGGTGAGAATACGCGTGGCTGGCCAAGTCTCGTGTTCCTTGTGGCGGCACTCCTCCTCGGTGGCAGGTGTGCTCAGACTACAGAAGACGCGAAGCTTGAAGAGAGTCAGAGTTCGCTTTGTCAAGTGAACTTTTGGTGCAGAGACCTCCCCTCCCATCGATCGATCTACTTGGCCATGGCTGGCGCCATGCTTTGGCTGGGGGCAATGCTGGACCACCCGACCTTCGACACGGTAGAGCAGCCGAGCATTCGGCCGTATGCCATTCCATGGCTAGCCGTCTTCACTCCAGCAGCTCTTTGCATCTTGGTCATGGGTGCTTCAAGCCCGCAAACGAGACAAAAGTCAGTCTGGCACCTGGCAGCCGTTGTTCTCCTATTGCCTGCTATGCTCGCCTTCATCTTTCGTGAGCGGGAGCACACCATGGGATGGAACCACGGACACCGCTTTTTAATAGTTTCCTGGATCTTCGTGGGTATCTTCCTTGGGCTCCTGGCCTTGTCATTTGCGCCGGAGCCCTGCGTTTCTTCCTGGCTCCGCAAGTTTGCAATGCTTGTCTGCTGCGTGTCCTACATGAACGGAGGCATCTCAAAGGTCCTCAACAACCGCCCCTTTCTGGGTTGGCTGGATGGGAAAGTTCTGCAGAAATCCACGTTTTGTGCCTCCATGGTGCACAACATCTACAAGGGTGTGGGCTACCCCTGGCTTTCCAGGCAGGTAGCCCTACATCTTCCCTTGTCGCAGCTCCTCTGCGCGACTCGGCACGAAGAATTGATCCTAAAGCCGCAGCTACCCCAACATCCAGAAAACTGAAATCCCAAAAGGGCCCAAGAGCATGACGTCCCGAATGACTAGGTCTTCATTTTGCTGTTTGAGCTGCCGCTCTCCTTCTCGGCGCTTGTAGGGCCAGGCTGCTTTGGCAAACTCGGGCCAGTGCGGATTCTTTGGTGCCCTGCATTCAGCTTCGAGTTGGGTTTCAGGACTTGGGAGTTCAGGGGTTTTAAAAATATATAATGGGGAACCCCCCCCCAAAAAAATAGCACATAATAGGTAACTCCCGAAATAGTACATACAGGTAATTATGAAGGCAGCTATAGTAGACATGATGATGCTCCCCAAAGTAGTCTGTGTCTTAGACATCTTAGACTTTTCAGGCACATTCACATGGGAGCCGGCCCCGGTTCTGGTTCTCCTCTTCTGATCGAAAGGAGTATCCCCATGGTCCTGATTGTCGTTCTTCTTATGATTGCCATCGCACTTCCTAGATAGATGTTGTTGCAAACTTGGCCGTTACTCAGCTTTCTATGACAGTGAGTTGCTAATTGCTAGCATCGAGACCTGCTTGGCCATTTTGAGAAGTCCTTCCTTGCTTTTTGCCGTGCTTATATCAGTCTGAAAAAGCCCATGATGCGTTTAAGAAGGGGCTCGCCCCTTCCAGTGGGCAGCTGAGCCGCTAGACTTGGGAGGCCTTCGGGTCCTCGGATCTTACCTAATAGTTGTAATATCCAACATCATAATAATAATAGTAATAACAATAATAACAATAAGAATAATAGACCACCATTATTCTCATGATAATACCTGATGGTAAAAGCATGAGTAACAACGAGGTGCCTGGTCGCTTGCTCATTCCACTTCGGCGTGAACTTGCTGTGGGGGAGCCTCGCAGCCAGCATGTACAACTACGAGATGTGGGTGATCTTGGTGCTCCGTGGCTGATTTTGAGAGAGTATCTCCTTATGGATCTTTATGGGTTCCGGCCTCCCTGGACAAGTCACACCATGGCTGAAGCACGACGCATGTCACGGGGTCACTGATGCATCGCCACGGTTAGCGTGGGAGTGCCCCGTGCAAGCCCAGTAAGACCAAAAAGGCTCGTCGCAGACGTGTTCGGCAAGTGCTTCTGCTGGTCTTCGAAAGCCAAGCCGTCGGAGGTCAAGGCCATTCTTCCAGCTACTCCTGCAGCCTCGAAGGAGGGCCATGCCATCGGGTCAACTTCTGGTGTCGGGTTTCAGGATATGATGCTCGGGGCTTAGACTAGACCTGCAGGACACTTTGACGGCGCTGTCGCTGCTCTGCTCATTCACACTCTTCGCTTGGATGACCGTGGCTTTCATCCGCCACTTCGATGACCCCAAGTGGCCCATCACTTCGGTGCCCATGTTCCTGGGTTCTGCAATCCTATAAGTACTTTCTCTGACCAAGGCGTGATATGGGTAAAGCCGTAGAATCATAGAGCACGGTATCGTCGACCGGCAGCGCAGGTACTCAATGCTCTGTGGCAACATGCAGTGTGACGAGAGCTTCCGCGCCAGCACCTACAACCTGCCGTGGTGGTGCGCAGTTGCATGTAGTCTGGCAGGCACATCCATAGTTTTTGTAAGGCCGGCAAGAGCGGCTGAGCCGAAACTCTCAGCCGTTCCCTAGAAAAATACATGAACTAGTGACCAGACGAGAAAACTTATATTATAGCTCTTTTCGGATGTGATCGAATTTTGAAAACCCCAGCTGCAACCGCTGTGGTGGCAGAGCGAGGCCCTTGTCTCCCGTCAGCTCGCAAGATTTGCGCAAGAGGAATGCGAGCTTCGAAAATGCGGGACCTTAACCCAGCGCATAGTAACAGCGCTGATGATTCTCAATGGTGATGCTAATCATCTTACTAAGCGAGTAACAAGAGTAGTAATCAGACTCATAATAATATTATAAAGAATAATCATAACAACAATAATAATGGTAGTAATAGTAATAGTAATAGTAATAGTAATAGTAATAGTAATAGTAATAGTAATAGGAATAGGAATAGGAATAGGAATAGGAATAGGAATAGGAATAGGAATAGGAATAGGAATAGGAATAGTAATAGTAATAGTAATAGTAATAGTAATAGTAATAGTAATAGTAATAGTAGTAGTAGTAGTAGTAGTAGTAGCAGTAGCAGTAGTAGTAGTAGTAGTAATAGTAGTAGTAATAGTAATAGTAATAGTAATAGTAATAGTAATAGTAATAGTAATAGTAATAGTAATAATAATAATCATAATCATAATGCGAATGGAACCCGAAGGCCTGGTCTGTTGCTGTTGCTCCAGTTGAGAGCACGCGGGCCCTTGGTCTGCAGCCTAGCGACAGTGCTTCATGACACTTTTATACCACTTGTTGTCGTAAGGGTATAGTAATAAAGGGTAATGATTGTTCTACGAAGACTGATGATAATAGTCTGTCTGTTTGACTCCTTGCCAAGCGTCTGCTGACGCTGTAACTGAAGCTCGAAGCTTCAAAGGGTTCTTATGTAGGAGCTTCAGAAAGCTCCAAGAAGGACAGAGATGCCAGGGGGGCTGCAAGATGACCTTGGGAGCCTATTGCAGGCCTCTAGGTATCGCTCTCCTCTGTTGGGGAGTTGTGCCTTTTTGGGGCTTCAGAGCTCTTGGTGCGTAGGTAAGAAGCTTAGTCTTTGCATTGCTTCGGGGACCCTAGCCCAGACCTGATACGAGCGCATGAAAACCGCATGATAGCAGGCCTGTAATGGGAATCATCAGAAGCTATCCCCCCAAATCATAGCCTTAGCGCCAGTATCTTGTTGGGTCTCCATGGGTATCTTGCCTCCCTTGTAGCCAAGGCCTGGACGCTGGTGCTTTCTGCTGACCTGCTTCTTGCCTTCTCAGGCGGATCCGATAGAGGAGTGGCATGGATGCCCGAAGTAGCAGGGTTGTACGCCTTTGTGCTCGTCAAGCTGTTTCGTACATACATAGCGGAATTATGAGGAAGAAAGTTATACATAAATACATAAGACCGACGTGTGTATATGTATATCATTCTAGTCCTAGTGTTGATTGATACTGTAGCAGTGACTATACGTGCAACGACTACGATTGTGCTTCCAACTCCCAACACTACGCTCACTACGCCCTTCGGAGTGCGCTTTCGGTGATGCACTTCCACCGAGGCCCCTGAAGATCTTAATTTAATTGCTGGGTCTGCAGGTGACAGCTGCCGCCGCACCCTGAGAACAGATTGTCGATCGTGGTGGCACATCTCAGTTTGGATGGTAGGACAAAAGTTCAGGGCCAAGATTCATGGGCCAAGGGTGGACAGACAAGAAGTGTCCCTTCCAATCGAAACTTGGAGCCTGCCGTTTGCCTTCCGGACTTGGTCATTACGATTCTTGATGGACAAAGCTTGGTCACGCATGTCGGAGACGCAGACCCCAATGAAGCGGCGACAGATTCACTTCGGCATCAGGGCATCAAGGAATGCCCCAGAATTTCGCCGATGTTGTAACATAGGCCCATGTGTGGCCAAGGATGATGTATAGTGCTACTCCAACACTACCTTGGCAACATTTGTATAGTCTTACCACCACAATATTTCCGTAATCTTATAGTACTACTATAGCATTACCATAGCAATATGTCGTCGATAACAAACCAGCATATTACCAAAATCGTATGCCACTACCATAACATCTCGGCCGTTTGACTATACTGCTACTATAACATTGCCAAGGATGCGAGCCCAGTCTTCATCTTGCGAACCTTTGCATCCTTCGGCGTGGAGGCCCTCTGAGCTGCCAGCAGGGTTCGGTTTGTCGGTTCGGTATTACTCCAAAATGACCATACAGTAAGATCGCTATACTACTACTACTACTACTACTACTACTGCTGCTACTACTGCCACCACCGCCAGCTGCTGCTGCTACTACCAAGTAGCGGCAGTAACAATGCTAGTAATAGTGCTACCAGTGTTATTGCAAGGGTTGCTCTCTTCAGCGCTGGCTTTGTGGTAGGGGGCGAGCACGAACTCACCCTTATTCCGCTTAGTTCTTGGAGGGCAGATGTGTGTACGGCGCACAACATAGAGGTAGTGATGCACCAGGACAATCCGACCCTGCACCCGAACCCCTATCCTTAATTTCCACAGGACTATAGAGTCGCAACGCGGTGTTGACGCCCGAATAGAGCACTGGTTAGAGCCTTGTAAGAATACTCTGAAACCCTTTGCACCATACAGAACCCTTATAGCCTTGCAGAACCCCCGTTTTCGATCCTGTCAAAACCTTAGAAAGCCGCAAGAAGGCCATCGATCAGTTGGCGGATGTCGGGGCTTCCACGGCTGGCTTTCGGACTGGACAGCGCATGCCCTTCGCCCGGGACCGAGCTCCGTGTTTAGGGTTCATGGTTTAGGGCTCTATAGGGTTAGAGTTGTCTATAGAAGCCTGAGTAATCAGCATTAATCCTATTTTGAGGGCGTTCCTTATTATCATGTATCCCAAAGCCCTATTCCACTCAAGAAGGCCCCTGTATTAGAGGTCAGGGTTTAGTGGTTGGGGTTTTATAAGTACTCAGGGTTTCGAAGATCAGGGTCTGGGATATCATCGCTTATGGGCTTCACTTTCACTGGGTGTAAAGACTGAGCCATAACAGCCGCAAGCCTTAAAAACCTAGAATCCCAAACCCAAGCCTAAGCCTTGCAAATATGAATTCATTCTTGGACCTTCCCAAACCCCTATCCCAAAGCCACCGAGGATTTTTTCACTATAGATCTTCAACTTGTCTTCAACCATGCGACTGCGAAGCGCAAAGCCCCATGTCGGGTGAAATGCTTCGTTGGTTTAGGGAGCATCCTGCTAGTGACGCTTTAAGCAGTTTAGGATCTTGTAACGCTTGCAGACTGGGTTTCGGTAGTTTACGGTTGGGACGATTGAGCCAAAGTTCTGCCATCGCCTCTGATTGCAGTTTGGCGATTTAACGCTACTGCTGGCAAAGTATGGTTCGAGCTAGAGTAAACCCAAACCTGCACAATTGTCTTCACTCTCGCTGTGCAGATACAGAAACATACATACATACAGAAGCACGCACACACACACACACGCATACATACGTACGTGCGTACATACACACACACACAATACATACATCACATATCATGTACACATACCCGCACACACACATACACACAAATACACACACACACACATACGTACGTACGCCTCCATACATATTGGACCAACCCGCTTCCAGCTCAGCAGACTTCCATTTCGGGCCCGCACATGTTCTCGTCCTGTTCCTGCGGAATGCAGGTCGGCATCGTGGCCGATGTCGACTACCGACTCTCCGGCAGCGACCTCACTTGAGTCCTAAAGCTCCGCACCGCTGCAATGTGACAGTCGACCAGAAACATCATATGGCGTTTCGAACGTTTGACTGCGCATGGTTGAGTCCCAGTGCCAGCCGACTATCACGCAGTACTCTTCTTCCAGTCTGACGCCAGCATTGTACCCGCAAGCCGTCTGTGTCGAAGTTGCTGACGGTGTCACGTCACAACTGCCCATTGGCAGATTGGAATTTGGAGACCCCTCACGCTGGATGCAGAAGCTTCTACTGCACAGTTCCCTATATCCTAAACTCGACAGCCCAAACCTTGGAAAAGGCCGTGACGACCATCCTGGTCGGGCGTCCACGTTAATCTTCGGCTTTGAGCTACGGACAGCGCCACTGGGTTGGCAAGCCGTCCTGAAGAGATCGGTGACTGGGAGATGGTCGTATCCTTATCTTCGGTATAAGTGGTAGGATTATCGCAATATCATAGCAATAGTATTCGACTCATCGCATAAGTAGTAATCACGCTTATAATTAAGATAATGATAACACATATGACATGATGTACCCCATTGACCCGTTGTGAGTTCTGAGGCCAGGGATTCAAATCCATTCTGCAGACTTCTACATTGCCAAGGGTTTTAGGAAGACGTAGTGAACTTGGGATCCTGTGGTTTCCACCTGCTCAGGCCCAACGTTATCGGAAACGTGCACCTGGAGGCATGGCAGTATGCGTGCTGCTGGATTTCTTCTCACTTCGTCTGTGACCCATAGCTGTTACTAGTGCTGCTGCTGCGACTGCGTCCGGTGCTACTACTCGCATTGATTACCTGCAGGTACCAGCTGTGCTCATCAAGCTACTATGGCAAGCGTGCGAGTAGCAGCAAATTCCCTCACCATGCAGCCTGCGTTGTTAAATGATGTCGAGCACTTCTTTTTAATATTTTCTCAGGTGCGAGTCTCTGTCATCATAGGAGCGGGTTGCATGTCCAGTCTCGGGCATGCAGGTTGTAGCACCTCTTGGCTATCTCTTCAACGATGACTGTGTCGCGGAGATCAGCCCGAAGCTCGCTTGCTTTTGCTACGTTGAGTTCCAACTCCAGAACATTGGGAGAGATCTTTGACTCAGATGCTGCTGGTGCTAAGTCTGGGGATTTAGATTATCATGCTACAGATCAGTCAGAGCCCTCTCAGGTGATCAGATCTTCGGTACCGGACAAGGCTTTCCATCCCCCTACCGGCCGTCGGGAATCCCGGGTACTGGCAAGATCGCAAGACAAAGCTTCACCCACAGTAGCTCTGCTGCGTTTGCAAGACTGAAAGCCCGATGTTGCACAGGGGGCGAGACCTCGAGCCCCTGCGACACTAACAACATCTTGGATCCCAGTGAGAAAGAGACAAATCGAACGATCGCCTAGGTTTGAGCCGGGAGTCCTGCTGGTCGGCTGTGCCGGCCACCGCAACATCGCGCAGCTGGAGGCACCGGCTCTGTGGTGGCAAAGTTTCAACGACCCAGAAGAAAATTCCAGCACGACGAGACGGTCAAAAACGAGTAATATGACTGTTCGATAATTGATCTAGATATTTTTACGGTTTTCAGAAGGCTTGTTTCAAGCATTGCATAAATCCTTTGAGCTGAGTGCACCTGCCATGGCATTTTTCTCGAAGCCCTTGCCTACTCAACCCTTGGAACATTTGAAGCTTTGCTTGTTTGAGCGCTGGACGCGCCCTTTGTCCATGTTGCTCTGGACCGGGAAGCTGCGAGCAGTTCAGGCCACTGTGGAGAGCTCTTTGCTTCCCAGCCATATGTCTCAAGGTGACGCCCGGGCTGCTTCCTGGCAATCGCTATGCGTGGGCCTTGAGTGTACACGGGCAATCGCTATGCGTGGGCCTTGAGTGTACACAGTTACATCTTTGTGTGATAGCATTTTACACGATCTACCGACTACAGAGGGACCAACAGTGTTGAAACCTGCTGTCGTCATGCCTGGGCGCCGCTCGGGGTTTCGAGGCCTTCGCCCTGCGCGTCGACGAGCAGCCGGCAGCCACGCCTGCCCCGTGGCTGCAGTGATCCGTGAGGAGAATCTGCTAGCGAGGGCCTGTAGCTGCTAGTAATTATGCCTCGCTGGCTGACGTTATCATAATTAGTCGTTTCCAACCCAATTGGTTTGCATGTCACGCAATAGCTGAAAAGCCGGACTTGCCTGACCCGACAGATGCACTCAACAATCTTGCATGTATGTCTGCCTGCCAGTGTATGGTATGGTATGTATGTATGTATGCATGTATGCGGACGGGGGGAGGCAGAGAGGTAGGTACTAGTAGCTAGGTATGTAGGTTAATTCCTTGATTTGTTTCTTGTGAGGCAGTTGCATGTTATGTTTATACCGACCTGCACGAACAGATGTTTGCACACTTGTTTATATGTATGTACTTACACATGAACTTGTCTAGATCTGTATGCAGAGAAAACAAAGCTGTTGCACGTCATTGCAACTTGTCGCAGCGCCTCCCATTACCGCTTTTGTCCGAAGCCACGCACGTGGATCCAGCCCAGGTGCAGAACACGTGGTTCCTCAATGTGGCCGACCAGGCCTCTTTTTTTTGCTCTGGGTGGTCGACTGTTCCTGGTTGCGGCTCTCGCGAAGCCATACAGTACTGCATGGCTGGGCATGTTACGTACTTACAGGGAAGGATGCATGAAATGCACATGTACGAAAAGTCACAATGTGCGCATCTGCGCATATGTAGCATACTCTTGCAAGTATGCGTACATAAAAACCTACAGACATACAGACACCTACCTACCTAGCTACCTACATACGTACATACATACACACATACATATGTACATACCCACATGTGAAGATACGTGTATGTGCTACACATAGGTATATGTAGATACACGTGCATATCTCTGCATGTGTATGTCTACATCTCTGTCTGTCTCATCTAATCTGATGCAATCTATATCTTTTCCGCTCCATCCCTTGATATTCAGTTCTGTTCTGTTCCGCTCTAGCAGTGTTTGTGTACGCGTGTGTGTGTTATGTCTCCGTGTGTGCGCGTTTGTTTGTTATATTATATATTCTTGTTCAAGGGTTCTCATTCCCGCATTCGCTTCAGTCGGAGTGGCGCATGTTAAGACTAAAGATAGTGGGATGTGTCTCGAAGTTAAAGTGAGGCTGTGCCAGATTGCCCCGTGCTGCGTTTCCTGGAGCCCAGATGAATACTGATACGAAGGCGTTTCAATGTGACATGGAGAATGCACGGACGGTGTCCTGAATCGCACACCCGCACCCACGAGCTCTCTCAGCAGGCATCTGAGGCCATTGATGGCTATCCTCTGTGGGCCTTCACCGACTTAGCCCGAATCCTGGGCGTTTCGTTGCCCGGATTGCTGGAAGCTTCGAGGGCCTTAACAGCCTGTGCAGCCTGCATGCCAAGCTGCTTTTCATGGGCACATGGTCGTTGCACTTTGTGCTCAGGCCAAGCGCCCCTGCTGGGAAGCAGCTGTGAGTACAAGAAATCGCCAGTAGCATTCGCTCCAAGGCTTTGGGCCTTCTCTTGGAGACAGTCATGGCCCATTCGACGACCATTGAGAATGAGGCCGCAACTTTGCACGAAGTCGTCGAAAGCTTTGTTCAAGACATGGCGCATATATCTCTCTCATTTTTCGGGTGGTGCGTGCCTGCAGGTAACGATCCTTTTCCGGCCGACCAACACGATGATGAGTCAGGCATGGAATGCAAGTGCCATTCCCCTGCTGACAGCAGAGGAGACCAAACGGCCTTAAGCCCTAAACCGCTCCTTGGCAGAAGTAGGAGTCAAACTACAGCCGCAAACAAATCGCAGGCCTACCAAAAAAGCACTACAACTTGCACCCCTAAAGTCTCCCACGTGGGAGAATCTCGAAGTCCCTGGAGGGGGCGCTGCAAGTGACAGCCCCAGAGGGCTTCCGCATCCGCAGAAGCTGCACTGCCTCCGCCTGTGCCTCAGAGCTACTCTGTTGTTTTATGCTTATGGTCGTTCTTCTTACCAGTGTGTTTGTTAATTCAGTGGTGTAGAAGCAAAGGAACCCATAAACACATAATCTAGAGTTAAACTAGTACACACACACACATCTATATATATGTGTATATTTACATACGTATATATATATAATATGTGTGTGCATATGTATGGATGTACATATGTACATATTTGAATGTTTGCGTGTATGCATACATATGTGTATATACGCATGTGTAAATGTATTTTAACTAATACGTATATATATATATATATATATATATATATATATATATATATACATATACGTATACCATGTACGTACACGCACACCTGTAATTATACCGCGTGGTGTGTCACCCATCACGGTATGGATTGAACAGTGGTTCGCTAGGTCCTAAGGATCGAGGTTTCAAAGTACCAGACACGTTGACATGATACTCTACGCTCCGTTTGAGCTACTTGTCTAAAGACATGATGACCTGCTTGAAACATTGTCTGAGTAGCATACTAGCACCATCCTTGTGAATGTAGTCTTATGGAGAGTTTTGCGATGGTTGATGGGACTCTGGCCATGCTACATGCTTTCGTGGTGACATGAGGACTTTGCAACTTGTCTCCTGCTCAAGCCCTGTACCGTCACCTACAATGCTCGAAAAGCAGCTTTGCTGGCAAGCACTCTAGATGATTTATCGTCTCATCAATGTTTGGAACTTGGAACGAGGATGAACTGCCCACACAGAGACACATCGATATGAGCCCACAAGAGGAACAAGCAATTTGCTGGTGTCGTAGGTTCAGCAGCTGGCATCCGGCAGCGGCCTGGCGCAGACGCCTGCAGATGTGGAGCTGTGGGGTCACCTAAACGAGAGTGAAGAAGCAGGTTCCCATTATCGGGTGGTCACGGCAAGCATTTCGATAAAGTTGCCTGGTGGTGTTCGCAGTCACGGGCGACTAACATAGGAGCCTCAAAATTGGTGACTCCTCAACCCCTAGGCGCTCTCAGCAAGGAGGGTGGGCCAAGAACGTGTCATTGGCATCAGTCTATGGACGAGCAGTATTTTGCCGCTGTGACCCTCGATGACGTCACTACTATCGTCAGTGCAATTTTGAGAATCAATTGTAGAGATACGTACATCGGCAATATGTATACGTAGATGTAGATGTACAATGTAGATTATGCTTCAAGTCTAAGATTTCTCAGACAACAACTTGGCCTAGAAGCTCTAGCGTCCAGGCAAAAATGGTTTCCCCGTTGTCCTTTGCAAGGCCTGGGGTGGTTTGCGAAGGCGAGCGCCCTGCGACGAATCGCTTCGAGGCCGCGACATCGGAACTTGGGCTCTCTGATGTCCCCTGGTTTCAGTATAGGGTGCAGGGTTTTATGATCAGGCATGGTACTCGGGCTCTGGCAGTAGTATGTACGTCCGGCGTCCGGGACTAAAGGCAGCCGCTTTTGACTCTCAGTTTTGGTGTTAAGAGCTTTCTGTGTTCCGGTCCTTCCGGGGATTTCCGCCAGTCTGAGGCGTTCAGCCGAGGACCAACGTGGCTTTTTGGGTGCTATGCGCTGATTTGGAATTCTTCGACGGTGGCTTTGATGGAGTTTCGATTTACGTGGCACAGCCACCAGTATGCATTGGTGTTCCTTGTTATACTGTTATACTTACTTGCCCCTCTCATCTCTTCTTGTTCTCAAGCCTTCTTTTGCTCTGAGACTGTCGGGCCCGAGAGACAGGCGGCCTTCACCAAAGCCACGTCTAAGTTCTTGCAGCCCCTTTGCGCCCCAGCCCTACATAGTAAGCAGCCAAAGCTCCAAATTCGACGCGAGCGGAGCAGGTGAAGTTCGTCTCTCAGCTCTCCCTCCTGGCCGGAGGCCAGACACCTTCAAGCAGCAAGAAGCTTCAAGGGAGGTACCCCCTGTTGATAATGTCGGTATTGTTTATTTCATGGGATTTCCCGTGGTTGATTATCAGGGCCGTAGCAATTGCTCGTCGTGTTCGCGCTTCGCTTCCTGGCACTGTCGATGTCAGGAGAACCGGCGCAATGGCATCATCTCTCTCTCTCTCTCTCTCTGTGTACAGGTAGGTAGATGGATAGAGAGACAGGCGTATCGAAAAATGTAGAGCAGACTCCGACGACATCCGAGACGGTTACTGCCAGGTGTGCGGTATCGCCTCAAGGTCTCTGTGTCTGGGGCCCAGTTTCTGCAGGAAGCATGTCAAGAACCCTGATCCACAAATCTTCCATGAAAACAGGGTGGAGGCTCTGGGCTGTAAGGCTTGAGTAGATTGACCACTCCATGGTCTGCCAGCACCCTTCCTACGAGCAAGGACATAAGGTTGGTCATGGCCCCGGTGTGGCAGTGGCCGGTGTTGAAGATGATTCGTGGGACTGGTACTGGTGGAAGTGTTGGTGGTGATGGCGTGCGTCTGTGTTTACCCTGATTCGCTGGTGGTCATGGTAGTCATAAACATGGTGAAAATGTCATCAGGTTCAAAACCACAGCCGCCCCAACCTTATGTAGGCGTATACACAGTGACATAGTGCACAACATGTAAGACCATTCATGAAGATCAGTTAGCGATGGTCAACAGTATGCCCGGCAACAACGAAAGAGTCGGCTTTCGAGTTGAAACACGGAGAATAAGTGCTACAGTTCATGAGTACTGCTACGACTACTGATGTTGCCCGTCATGGCTAACAGTCTAAAACTACTAGCATTGACATGTCGCTACTAACGACTTGTGGATAGCGTTAAGTTAAGTGTCTCCCCATAACGGCATGGTTGTCTCGGCTGAGGCTGAACCCGAGCACCTTGAGTCCTACCCCGGGGTCCTGGGCCTTGCAAAGCTACCAGGAGGCTTGTTTCACGTCCCGGTTGTTCTAACCAGGGTTGAGGTTCCCTTTACAGTGCATACTTCGGCTGAGGATTCTCGGGCCTTAAGCATTAGGCTTAGGCTGTTACGCCCGGGATGCAGTTGCAGCCAAGTTTAGCTGAAAGAGATGGAGCCGCTTGGGAATACTTGTGTTCAACAGTTCAACCGAGGACGACTGGAGACTCGTGTTTGACTTCAAAGGTTTCCAAAGGTTGAAGTTTCGATCGGCATGCTACAGCTCGAGCATTCGTTTCGCCGTTCTTTCGTCCCCAGGCTGCTCCGGTCAGCATGTCTGTGTATACATAGAGTCACAATAAACAAACGGGCTCAGCGATAGAAGCCCTCCAACGCTCGACATTGCCGAGCCCGGGCTTTAATTGTCACCTCAGAGTGAAATTGAATTGACTTGTGATTTAATGGAAGAGCATCATGAGCACTCTGTGCCAGCTGCCCTTTGCGCAAAGTCCATGCAAGGACATCCAGAAGAAAGGCTAAATGGGTCACTGGTGGAACACAAGCAGATCCGTGATTTACATTCAACGCCTCAGCAGGAAAGCACTGCAGAACAGCTGCATACAGAACGGAACCCAAACCCTTTCGGCGCTAAAGCCCCACAGACTCGGAGCTTTCAAAGCATAGAATAGCCAGGGTCTACTTGACGTGGGGACTCTGGCATCCCCTGCGCTCTCCGCCGCTCTCCAAAGCTTCGAGGTACCAGTTCCATCCGGGCAGGGGGTGTGAAAGTGTGAGGTCTTGATTCTACAAATAGTGCAGGCATGACACATGTATTCGCAAGCATAGCAGCATTGATGAGGATGCTAGGGTTGTGGAAGGATCTTCGGTCTTGCGGATTGTAAGATGCGAAACGGAAGCAGGAAAAACATAGGAGGACGACCAGTCGGACCTGTGTCCTCATGTTTTGTTTCTGTCCAGCATGCCGATTTGCACCCTCACATGTTGTGATGTTGTGCATGTGCCGCAGCCTTAGAACGTCAAGGAAGCTGCGATTGCATAGAGCACATCTAGATCTTGATGGTGCTGGCAGCCGAGAATGGAGACGCGCCTAACATAGAGGCGTGGTACATGGCCCCTGGGAAGCACTTGGTTACTAGGTTTGTCCGGCACACGGGCGTTGCTTGTGGGCATGTCTGAACATTCGCATACCTAGACACGGAGTGCCGCGAGAAACAGAAGGCAGCTGTTGCCTCAATCTAGCATTAACATCGCGCAGCTGTGCCGGCAGTTCAGCAGTACTTGTTTAGAACGAGTATTGCAACTGCTGTTGCAGTCGTCTTGAGTACCATCGAGATATTTGCCAGCATGAGGGTTGTGACGGTTGTACTTCCCAGCAGTAGTAGCTTTGTAACAATCGCGACAGTCATCGTGATAGTAGTCTCATGGTGCATGGAGGGAAAGGGGAAAGATGATAACACTAGGACTTAACATCAATTAGCAGCCGCGATGGGGGTGTTGCTCATTGATAGCCATCATGGCAGCGATTATTCTCGTCGAGTCACATTAGCAGAACTTTCGAACTCCGAGAACCACGACCACCACCACGACCACTAGAGTGAGGCCACGGCCCGACTCTGGGGCCCAGAGCTTCATAAGGGCTAGTATTCGCGAGCTTAAGGGGTTTACGGTTGGTGTGGGGTGCTGTGTAGAATCACTCCCGCATTTTCTCTCAAGCCGGCTACCTACTGTGAAGAATTTGAGGGAAGCTTCCGGTAGTTTTAGGCCACCATGCTTCGCGTTCGAAACCTTTCCGGACTCGAGCTTGTTGCGGCCACTGCGGAAGAGGTCGCTGCCTTGGCCGCTACACATGGCAGCGTCATCAAGGGCCTTGAGCAGCGTTTATCCCTTCTGGTCGGCTACCCATGCTTTCGACTGAAGCTCCTTTGCGGAGATGCGATAATGAATGAAGAGGCCGCCTTGAAGCTGCCGCTTGAGTTGCAGGTAGTCGTTTGTGACTATGCCGAGTTTGATGCAGGCGACGTTGACCGTCTTTCAGACGCCAGTGGGGCAAATGACACTGCTGCGGTTGAGGCCTTGCTGCGGCACCCTCAAAACCCAAATTTGAAAGATTCCCGTGGTCTGACAGCATTGATAGTGGCCGCCGGTAGTGGGGCGGTGGAGAGTCTCCAGCTACTCGTGTCTGCGTGTGCGGACATCAATAAGCCTTGCACACAGACTGGTGCCACAGCTGTCTTTGCTGCAGCTGCGAATGGTCGCCTTGCTGTGGTGCGCAGGCTGATTGAGATGGGTGCTGACAAGGACGCGGCCAGGAACGACGATGGTGTAACGCCTGTTTTCATCGCAAGTCGGAACGGTGACATTGAATTGGTACGCTTGCTGATTGAGATGGGTGCTGACAAAGACAAGCCAAGGAACAATGGTGAAACGCCTGTTTTCATCGCAAGTCGGAAGGGTGACATTGAATTGGTACGCTTGCTGATTGAGGCGGGTGCTGACAAAGACAAGCCAAGGAACAATGGTACAACGCCTGTTTTCATCGCAAGTCAGGAGGGTCACCTTGAGGTGGTACGCTTGCTGATTGAGAAGGGTGCTGACAAAGACAAGCCAAGGAACAATGGTACAACGCCTGTTTTCACCGCAAGTCAGGAGGGTAACCTTGAATTGGTACGCTTGCTGATTGAGAAGGGCGCTGACAAGGACGCGGCCAGGAACGAAGACGGTGTAACGCCTGTTTTCATCGCAAGTCGGAAGGGTGACATTGAATTGGTACGCTTGCTGATTGAGACGGGTGCTGACAAAGACAAGCCAAGGAACAATGGTACAACGCCTGTTTTCATCGCAAGTCAGGAGGGTCACCTTGAGGTGGTACGCTTGCTGATTGAGAAGGGTGCTGACAAGGACGCGGCCAGGAACGAAGATGGTGTAACGCCTGTTTTCATCGCAAGTCAGCAGGGTCACCTTGAGGTGGTGCGCTTGCTGATTGAGACGGGTGCTGACAAAGACAAGCCAAGGAACAATGGTACAACGCCTGTTTTCATCGCAAGTCAGGAGGGTCACCTTGAGGTGGTACGCTTGCTGATTGAGAAGGGTGCTGACAAGGACGCGGCCAGGAACGAAGATGGTGTAACACCTGTTTTCATCGCAAGTCAGCAGGGTCACCTTGAGGTGGTGCGCTTGCTAATTGAGAAGGGTGCTGACAAGGACGCGGCCAGGAACGACGATGCTGCAACGCCTGTCTTCGCCGCATGTCACCAGGGTCACCTTGAGGTGGTGCGCTTGCTGATTGAGATGGGTGCTGATAAAGACAAGCCGACGAACAATGGTACAATGCCTGTGTGCATCGCAAGTCAGGAGGGTCACATTGAATTGGTACGCTTGCTGATTGAGAAGGGTGCTGACAAAGACGCGGCAAGAGAACGATGGTGTGACACCTCTCTGTGCGACAAGTCGACGAAGTGAGTTGGACGTGTTGAGCTTGTCGACTACAAAGGGCTACGACAAGAACCCAGCGAAAACTAGTGCAAATCACAAAGGTCAGTCACATACCACTGCGGCTGCTGCCTGCCACTGCTTCTACTGATTCTACTGCTACTGCGATTACAGCTTCTACTGCTACTGCTACCACTGCTGCTACTACTACTACTACTACTGCTACTACTACTACTACTACTACTACTACTACTACTACGATTACTGCTACTACCACGACCACTACGGCTACCACTGCTACTTCATGCTACTTCTGCTACTGCTTCTATTACGGCGACTAGCGCTATGCCTACTACCGGCTCTGCTGCTCCTTCTGCTCCTGCTGCTGCCCGCTACCCCGCTGTTGTTAGCAGTGACAGTGGTGACCACATGGTCATCACGTCGGCATTATGAAGGTGGTCGCCAGCATCATGCATTGCATCCTGGTTTATGTCCATCTGTTGAGAGGTACTGTTGATGATCCCACTGTCATCGCCATCATCATCATCATCATCATCGCGATCATGATTGGCACTTCAATTTTCCGTTGTTCTTTGCGCACTCTTCACCCTCTTTGGCCATCATGGTCAGTGTTAAACCCGGAGCCCTCTCAAAGCCATCAGCCGAGGCTGCTGAGGTCAAGGATCAGACGGCCGAGAATCGCCGTTCCCCGAACAAAGCCGCGGCTCCGTCTGTGCTGGCAGATCTTGGAGTGCTCGCTTACCATGTCCCACCGACAGGCCTGACCCAAAGATCTGTGAAGTAATATAGGGGCCTTAATAATTACCTATACTATTTTGGGGCTCCCCAAAAGCCCTATTCTAATTATCAAGGCCCCTATAGTACTTACTACCCGCGGAGAATGCTTCAACTTACGAAGCTGCCTCAGGCGACTATCCACCAAAGGCGGTGCCATGGGAGCCTCAGAGCGGCATCCAGGACTCCTGCATCAGTCATCACCTTCTCCCTTATCTTCCATCAGCTGCATCATCTTTTATTCACCTTGTCATTTTACCACTGCTCCCGTGGTCGTCATCATCACGGCACGGCATCATCCTCATCACCAGCAGCTTAGTCTTCTTCCCTGCCTGCACAACCATCACGGCCACCGCCACCGTCTTCCGCCCTGTCATCACCACTGTTTTCCCCAACCGCAAAACATCATCACTCACGTTGCCTCTACATCATTTGGCTCAGTGCTCATGAATCCTGGCTTTATGTCTGGCTAATGCGTTTTAAGGCTGTTTTAAGGCATCATGGGCTCCGTTTTGGCCACATCTGTCGTGGCCTTGGGATTCCAGCGGATTAGACATTCGCAGGATGCGAAGCTGAAGCAGATCCGGGATGCGAGAGGCTACAACTATGCCGACATCATTACTTGCTCAGAGGCCGGATGCGCGTAGGCTTAGTCTTTCACTGGCACATGCGAGTGCTCAGGCAGTGGGCACCTGAGAAAATGCAGACTCACGATCAAGTTAGGACCAGGCTCCCTACGCCTTTCTGGGCAGAAGGTCGGAGGTACACACGGAATAGACTTGAGGTTCATAGTTAGATCTATATCGTTTCCATGTTTTTCCAAAGCCTACGTCTTGTCAGGAATGCCTCCCTGACTACCACAACAAGCTGAAAGCATTTTTCGAGGAGCATATCCACTCTGACGAGGAGCCAGCATCGTGCTTGGAGTTTCAGAGCAGTGCAATGTGGAGGATGTAGCAGGCCCGGTATGCAGCAGGACATGTTTGCCCCGACATAGACTTTCGGGTGTGCTCGGAGGTTCATCTGACTCTAGCTAGAACCACACCTGGCAGAGTGCAGCATCTGCTTCCCGCAGGAGGTTCGGTACATCCTCAAGGGCAGTGGGTACTTCGATGTCCGTGACACCGAGGTGCAGCGACTCCCGTCGAACGGAACAGCGGAACTGCAAGTGAGTGAAATTACTGAAAGCTCTGATACCGCAGCCGCAGTACCATTTGTTTCTGACATAGTTGGTCTTGAGAAGTTCGGATTGGCAGACAGTGTAGTTTTAGAACGGCGCAAATCCGTCCAAATTGGTTCTCCGCCGCGAGCAGCTGCTTGGTGTCGGGCAAGGCGGTACCGGTTGAGGAGACATTGGTGCCGAAATTGCAGAACAGCAATGACTCAAAGAATCGATGGCCCACGTGCAGGATCAGTGGATCCGTGTGCAGCTCAACGCAGGGGACTTGATCGTTCTCCCTGAGGGCATTTACCACAGGCCCTGCCGCAAAGCTGCGGTCGCGGTGCGAATT